GATCCTATCACCATACATTTGACTCCCATTCCCTCTACGTGTTTGGCGAAGACCTCCTCCGGCAAACTCTTCGTAAAAGGATCAGCTAGGTTGTCTTCTGATGCAATCTTGGTGATCTCAACTTCTTCTCTTGCCACAATATCTCCGATAAGGTGGTATTTGCGCTCTATGTGTTTGCTTGCTCTGTGGGCTCGTGGTTCCCTTGAGTTTGCTACTGCACCACTGTTATCACAGTACACGGTAATAACACGTGGCAAACTCGGAATCACTTCTAAGTCCACCAAGACGTTTCTGAGCCAAACTGTGTAATATCCCGATATTTTATCGGTATAAATTATGTTTTAGTTCCGATATAATAACGTTATCGATCATTATTTTCGGAATTAATTATGTTCAGTCGAGATTACCGAAATTTATTTTCGACGTACCGTTTACGTTCGAAATAATTTTGGTAATCAAGTATTATGTTTAATTAAATAATTAAACATTAGATAAGTGATTAATTAATATTAATCACCCTATTAAGATCATGAAACCGTGCTTGAGGGACATTATTTCCATCAATTGACTAAGGCCGTACGGTTTTAGGTACTAAAGTCCTTATGGACTTGTTCAAATAATTCCTCCAATATGGAAGGCTTCCTTCACTAAATGGTAAGTTATTCTTCCCTCAAAATAGTGCAGCTACGTGGCTTAATTATGGGGCAATTAGTCATCATTGAGCATGCCTATAGCCAGCAAGTGTCAAGCCCTAAATAAGCCACACCATACCTCCGTCACCCTCATTTCCCTCGGCATCAATATATAAGGAGGAGTTTGAATGAAATTTCCCCCATTTTTCCTAAGACTCATGCAGCATAGCATCCCCTCTATACGAACAGCACTATACCACCATCTTCAGCAACAAATAACCCCATTTAATTCCTCATCTCCCCATATTATTGCACGGCAGATCGCACATCAGGACGAGCACGGCCGGAGCAAGAAAAGCTTGAGTAACTGAGGTGTTTCGATCAAGTAATCGAAGAGGTAATTCCTTCTTCAGCTCATATTTAAATTGTTTAGGCCATGTTCAAGACCGTTTAGGCTTGAGTAAGATCAGACCCCCTTATGTTCATTTCAGTCCGACAAGTCCCGAGCGTTTATCGGTTGTTTAGCCTTTATTCAGTTTATCATGTTCAATAAGTTCAGATTAGTCGAGGCAAGATGAAGTTTTGTAGATAAAATGGCCTGAGACGTCGCCAGCGCCTATCGCGTGGCCTCGGGTGGCCTCGGGTCGTGTCTTGTTGCCTTCAGTAATAAGCATGTTTCGTCCGCAGGTTCATGTCTTAAATTGCCTCACATTAAGGTTCATGTCAAGCTGTTCAGTAGTTGCCTAGTAAAAAGGTGTTTGGCCGGGAGACGGCGTATAGCCGTCGACGGCGCACGGCGCGCCCGCCACGGCCGGGTGTTAAGTTCGGCAAGTAAGTTCAGCCATTTCTTTATAAATTTAGTGTAATGTTCATGTTAGGTCAGAAAAGGTTAGGTAAGGTCCGTTCGGTCGGAAAATGTTGCCGGACGGCCGGCAAGGGCCGGCCGTGGTCGCGCTGCCGCACACAGCGGCAGCAGCGCACCGGCCAGCAGTCAGAGTGACGGG